TTTAGAATTTTGGGTCGAATTTGCTTTTGTCTTTGATTTCTAAGATCTTTGGAGGTTGCCAATTTGTTATTAGGAATTTTGGGCCGAAATAAGTGTTTTATACTCCCTTTCCCGTATCTCCCTCTCCCAGTCACCACCTCTATGGCGGCCCCCTCTGGGTGGAGTTTAGTTAGAGCAGGCATGGTCAAACTTTGGCCCTCCCTCCAGATGTTTTGGACTTCAACTCCCACAATTCCTAACACACACACACACACACACACACACATGATATACACTACCTTAGGTACCTAATGTTGTCCGGGTTCATCTCTTTAAAGTTATAAAAAATGAAAAATATGCTACTTTATATATATACCACTGAGAGAGAGAGAGAGAGAGAGAGAGAGAGAGATTCACATGATGCTATGAGATTATATATATGGAGCCCCTGGCGACACAGTGGGTTAAACAACTGAGCTGCTGAGCTTGCTGACCAAAAGATCGGCAGTTCAAATCCGGGGAGCGAGGTGAGCTCCTGCTGTCAGCCCCAGCTTCTGCCAACCTAGCAGCTGGAATACATGCAAATGTGAACAGATCAATAGCTACCTCTTCTACGGGAAGGTGACGGCGCTACATGCAGTCATGCTGGCCACATGACCTTGGAGGTGTCTACGAACAACGCCGGCTCTTCAGCTTAGAAATGGAGATGAGCACCAACCCCCAGAGTTGGACACAACTGGACTTAATGTCAACGGGAAACCTTTACCTTACTTACACACACACACACACACACACACACATGACTTGGCCTGGCATACAGTTATCACATTTGATATGTGAACAGTGTAGTTGGTCTTTCATATTCAACCCACCATGGCTCAAATCTGTGTGAGGAAATGAATACCTATACCATATATATATATATATATATATACACACACACACACACATATAGATACACATATACATATGCATGCACACACACATTTTCTATACACATTATCTATGTATCTATCTATCTGTACACATCTATACACATAAACGTGATTTCTTGTGCACAAAATCTTTATGTGTGTATGTGGCAGAGGTATGTGGCACTTACACAGACGGACTCTCCTTTCCACGGGCGATAGTTCCCACTACGCAGGAGACGCCAATGGCCCTCCTCCCAAGCACATTGCAGGTTATAGTGAGCGCCGCATCCCAGGGTTCCTTTCTCTTTCCATTGGTGTGGAATTTGCATGACCCCACCCACTGCCTCTCCCTTAACCCTTTCCTATTATTTTTTATGGCACACAGCAAACAGAGGAACTGATCAGCAATCAACATACTGGAGGGGGTTGGGGGGCTTACTCCAAATGATGGAAGTTGTAATTCGCCCGGTAGCAAGACACCCCCACCAACAATGGACCTGGACCACATTTGGCATCAACAACCCCCATGACCAAATTTAGGGGGAATTAAGCTTGATTTATAGGAGTTGTAGTTCACCTACATCCAGAGAGCACTGTGAACCCAACCAGTGATGGACCTGGACCAAACTTGTCACGGATGGTGGGATTTGCAGTACCTTCATTCACTTCCAGAGACCACTGCGACCCCGATGGATGACGGACCTGGATGAAATTAGGCACACAGACCCTCCCTCCCATGACCCATTTTACATCCTGAAGTTTGGAGGGGGGCAGACCATGGCTGATGGGATTTGCAGTCCCTTCATTCACTTCCAGAGACCACTGTGACCCCCATGAATGATGAACCTGGATGAAATTAGGCACACAGACCCTCACCTCCATGACCCATTTTACGTCCTGATGAAGTTTGGAGGGGGTCAGACCATGGCTGATGGGATTTGCAGTACCTTCATTCACTTCCAGAGACCCCGATGAATGACGGACCTGGACGAAATTAGGCACACAGACCCTCACCCCCATGACCAATTTTACATCCTGATGAAGTTTGGAGGGGGTTGGACTATGGCTGGTGGGATTTGCAGTCCATTCATTTACTTCCAGAGACCACTGCGACCCCCATGAATGATGGACCTGGACGAAATTACGCACACACACTCACCCCATTACCTGCTTTACGTCCTAAGTTGGGAGGACGCACCACAGCTGATGGGATTTGCAGTACATTCACCTGACTCAGCTCCCAGAGACCACTGCGACCCCCACAAATGATGGACCTGGACCAAACTTGGCACACTGATACCCCGTGACCCACTTTACATCCTGGTCTGGCCTGGGCACTGCGGGGTCCCCAAGCTAGTATGTATATAAAAACATATAGGGCTTATATATTACGAGCATCATGCATAACCATTGCATTATGGATCAAGCTCCAGTGTGTGGTTTTCAACTTTGCATGTGTTTTAATGGCTTTTAACTGGGAATGATTAAAATATTATTTTACATTTAACCCTGTTTTAATGTCTGTATATTTGTAATTTTAAATGGTTATGCTGATGGATTTATGTTAACATAAACAGTACGAATATTAAGTCATAGAGTTCTAGAGTTGGAAGAGAATCCAAAAGGACATCCAGTCCAACACTCTTCTGCAATATAAGAAGGCACCACAATCCACCCCATTTCTCTCTTTCCAGGCACTACATTTCCATACAGCAGACCCCCAATATATCTTTTCCCATGCACCAAACCCATGCATCCCATTGCACCCTTTCCATGCACCAATCCCATGCATCCTACTGTAATGCACTCCACTTTATCACACCCTTTCCCCATGTACTAAGCCCATGCATCCTGTTGCAATTCACCCCATCTATTGCATCCTGTTCCCCATGCACCAAGGCCATGTACCCCATTGCAATGCACCCCATTTCATTGCATCAAACCCACACACCTCACCGCACTGCACCCCATTTATTGCACCCCATTTCATTGCATCCCATTGCAGTGCACCCTATTTTATTGCACCCTTTCCATGCATCCTATTGTAATGCACCCCATTTTATTGCACCCTTTCCCCATGTACTAAACCCATGCATCCTACTGCAATTCACCCTACATGCACCAAGGCCATGCATCCTATTGCAATGCACCCCATTTCACTGCAGCAAACCCACACACCCCATTGCAATGCACCCCATTTATTTCATCTTTCTCCACGCAGCCCATTGTAGTGCACCATTTCACCATGCACTAAACTAATGCACTCCATTGCAATGCACCCCATTTTATTGCACTCTTTCCCCATGCATCCTATTGCAATTCACCCTATTTATTGCACCGTTCCCCATGTACCAAAGCCATGTACCCCATTGCAATGTACCCAATTTCATTGCATCAAACCCACATACCTCACTGCACTGCATCCCATTTATTGCACCCTTTCCCCATGCACCAAGGCTATGCATCCTATTGCAATGCACCCCATTTCACTGCAGCAAACCCACACACCCCATTGCAATGCACCCCATTTGTCACCTTTCTCCATTGCAGTGCACCATTTTATCATGCACTTAACCCATGCATCCTATTGCAATGCACCCCATTTCATTGCATCCTTTCCCCCATGCACTAAACCCATGCACCCCATTTCATTGCACTTTTCCATGCACCCTACTGCAACACACGCCACTTCACTGCACCATTCCCCATGCACTAAACCCATGCACCCCATTGCAATGCACCTCATTTAATTGCACCTTTCTACCATACACTAAACCCATGCACCCCATTGCAATGCACCCCACACTTGATTGCACCCACTGCCTTGCACCCCTTAAAGGGCCACAACATAATTTCCCGACCCACCCACCAATGCTACATAAACACACAGAAACATTTTTACCTCCTAGTCCTCCAGAAAGGAGGGGGGTCCTTTCCACTCCCTTTTTAGTCCATTTCCTGCTTCTCTATGACCCCCTCCCTTCCTTCCTGACTCCCCCCTTTTCTTCATTTGCAGCCACTCTAGGAAGCTGTGTTTTGCTCTTTGGAGGACTGCATTTATTTACAGTCCTTTGGGACTCAGTCTCATTGTTTTGCAAGAACAGCCTTGATTGCTGACCCTCTCCCACATCACCTTCCAGCTCTGCTTCAGAATAATAATAATAATAATAATAATAACAATAATAATAATAATAAAAGCAGCATAGGCTGGGTGGCCCTCTGTTGGGAGGGCTTTGATGGTGTCTTCCTTTATGGCCCAAAGGGGTTGGACTAGATGGCCTTGAAGGGTCCCTTCCAACTCTAGGATCTTATGCTTCTAATAATAATACATATAATAATGTATATAATAATAATAATATTCCACTTTGAGCTCTTGACCCAGAAGCAAATGGCTAAAATAATAACAATAAGAATAATGAATATAATGTAATTAATATAATAATAATATAATGATAAATATATAGTAATAATATTCCACTTTGGCCTGACCCAGAAGCAAATGACTAAAATAACAATAACAATAATGAATATCATGTAATTAATAATTAATATAATAATAATAATATGCTACTTTGACCTCTTGACCCAGAAGCACATAATAATAATAAATATAATGTAATCAATAATAATAAATATAATAATAATAATAATAATAATAATATCCCACTTTGACCTCTTGGCCCAGAAGCAAATGGCTAAAATAATAACAATAACAATAATGAATATAATGTAATTAATAATAAATATATAATAATAATAATATCCTACTTTGACCTCTTGGCCCAGAAGCAAATGGCTAAAATAACAATAAATATAATATAATGTAATTAATATAATAATAAATATATAATAATATCCCACCTTGACTTGGCTCAGAAGCAAATGGCTAAAATAATAACAATAATGAATATAATGTAATTAATAATAAATATATAATAATAATAATAATAATAATATCCCACTTTGACCTCTTGACCCATAAACAAATGGCTCAACTAATAACAATAATAATAAATACAATATAATGTAATTAATATAATAATAAAATAATAAATATATAGTAATAATAATATTCCACTTTGACGTGACCCAGAAGCAAATGGTTCAACTAATAACAATAATAAATGCAATATAATGTAATTAATATAATAATAAATATATAATAATATCTCACTTTGACCTCTCGTCCCAGAAGCAAATGACTAAAATAATTATATAATTATAATAAATATAAAATGTAATATAATAAAATATAGTAATAATTTTAATATCCAACTTTTTATAATAATAATAATAATAATAATAAATGTAACATATTTCTATACACATACTAAAATAGAAAATATGTATGTGTGTGTGTGGATGGGATGTCTACTTGCACAGATATATACATACATATACACACACACACACACACATATCCTATGCAAGTTGAGTGTCCCTCATCCGAAATATTTGGGATCAGAACTGTTTAGGATTTGGGGAAAGAAGTGTATTGGCATACATGTTTTTGTTGTTGTCATTGTTGTTGTTGTTACTGCATGCTTTCCAAATCATGGCTGTCAGTCAAATACAAAGCCATGTAAGATCTATATAAATAAAAATGCAAATGTTTGTTCAAAACCTTAAATCTCCCCAAATACTTCACCGATTGCTTTGACAGCTTGTTTTTAAAATAATTTCCGCACTGCTACATTTGTTTTTATTATTAATTTTTAATAGAAGTTGTTTTAATGAAGATGTTTTTACATGCAATAAAATAGAAAAGGAAAAGTATACATAGGCATATAGCATGCAGGAGAGAGAGGTCATCTACAGCCCTAGAATCGCATTGGAGGCCTTGCAAATGCCTAGAGACAATATAGATATATTCGTAGAGGCAGATAAGTGTGGATACAAGGGTTGTGCTGTATATAAGAAGTGTAGGTATTCCACCCCACACTGCTCAAGTCTGCAGTCCTCAATGAGGAGGGGCTAGTGAGCTGAGAATAGGCTGAGGATTGTATCTACAGTGTTCCCTCACTTATCGCAGGTATTACCTTCCAGGACTTTTGTCTTTGACTTCTACGTTTACATCTGAAAAACATGTAACAGTAACCAAAAGTCCCAGGCTCAGCCATCTCCCTGCATGAAGTCCTGTGCTGTGTGCATTGAGCTCTCTCTCTGTTTATGTGTCAGGAGAGATGTGTAGCTTGGAGATTTCCCCTCTTTTGAACCCTAGAAGAGATGAAGGTATAGAATAGCTAGGTCCCAGTTCTTTTACTATTAAGAAATAGTTATTATTTCTGTAAATAAATCTGTTGTAATCTTCAAGATTGTGTTGGAGCATGCTGAGCCTGGGACTGTGGGTTACTGTTACATTTTTCAGGCTCGAGCTAAGCAGGTGTTTAGAGTGAAGCAGAGACAGATTTTGGAGTCTGCTCACGTTTCATGAACTGCCAAAGGAGTTTGTTTACATGGACAAAGAAAGACAATTGGTCGGACTTCATGTGGGGAGATGGCTGAGCCTGGGACTTTTGATTACTGTTACATTGTCAGGCTCGAGCTAAGCAGGAATAGAGAGAGACACATTTTGGAGTGTGCTCTCGTTTCATGAAGTGCCAAAGGAATTTGTTTACATGGACAAAGAAAGACCATTGGTCGGACTTAATGTGGGGAGATGGCTGAGCCTGGGACTTTTGGTTACTGTCACATTTTTGAACTAAGCAGGTGTTTAGAGAGAAGCAGAGAGAGACATATTTTGGAGTGTGCTCTCGTTTCATGAACTACCAAAGGAGTTTGTTTACATGGACAAAGAAAGACCATTGGTTGGACTTAATGTGGGGAGATGGCTGAGCCTGGGACTTTTGATTACTGTTACACTTTTCAGGCTCGAGCTAAGCAGGAATAGAGAGAGACACATTTTGGAGTGTGCTCTTGTTTCATGAACTGCCAAAGGAGTTTGTTTACATGGACAAAGAAAGACAATTGGTCGGACTTCGTGTGGGGAGATAGCTGAGCCTCGGACTTTTGGTTACTGTTGGTTACAACTGATAACTTGTACATATGCTGTTCTGAACTACGAAAAGTAAACTACTTGCTATTCACTGTTCATCTGCGTGGTGTGTATTTTCTTTCTACGACAAGACAGTGTGTGGGCCGATCAAACGTGAACTACACGTGGTTTACTTTACATTACGCCACAGACTGAACTCTTTGCCTCCTAAGCTCTAAATTCTTTACAGCCATGTGGCACTTCACACTGTGCTTGCTGTGGGCTCAATGTTCAACTTTACGTACGCTGTGTTTGCATATTTTTGGATGCTCTGCTCTATTTTTTGGCTAGTTTTCCCTAACACAGAAAATCCTAACACACAAATAAAGATGAAAACACAGCCAAAATGACAGAAAAAAACATTAACAACAATTTTTGGACTTTTCTTCCAATGTCCTAATATATAAAATCCTACACAGACTACATTATTCCCACGCTTCTTCAGCTCATCAAGACCTACTGAGGAGAAAACAGTTTTCAGGTCATTTATGGGTTTTCTCAAATAGTTTATCCATCTCAGCCAAAAGCATTCGGATTTAACAACGCTTTTCTATTAACGTTGTTGCGCTCTTCCATTTCTGAACATATAATATGGTCACTGAGAATCGTCCAACGAGGGAGTCATGGGAGCAGGGAAATCATGCAATTCCGGCAACCCCTCGCCATTCGGCAACGTGTGGGTTTTCTGATGCCGCATATAGGATCCTCTGTCACGGAAGCTCATCTCGCACTCCAGGCACTTGTAAGGCTTCTCTCCCGTGTGGGCCCGCTGGTGCACCTTCAATGTGCTGCCACTGCTGAAGCTCTTCCCGCACTCCAAACACTGGTAGGGCTTCTCTCCTGTGTGGGTCCTCAGGTGGGAAGTCAGGTTCCCGCTCTGGCTGAAGCTCTTCCCGCACTGCAGGCATTTGAACGGCTTCTCCCCTGAGTGGGTCCTCTGGTGTACGCAGAGGCTTTCCCGGTGGTTGAACCTCCTCCCGCACTCCGCGCATTGGTAGGGCTTCTCCCCAGTGTGGGTCCTTTCGTGTTTGACGCACGACCCGGAATCCACAAAGGACTTCCCGCACTCGGTGCATTTGTATGGTTTCTCCCCACTGTGGGTCCTCTGATGCTTGATGCACGAACTGCTGTCGCTGAAGCCCTTCCCGCACTCTGCGCACTTGTGAGGCTTCTCCTTGCTGTGGATCTTTTGATGCGAACGTAGGTTCTGAGACCGACTGAAGCACTTCTCGCACTCGGTGCATTTGTACGGCTTCTCCCCCGTGAAAGTCCTTTGGTGGCTGGTGCATGCTCCCCGGTGACGGAAGCTCATGCCGCAATCCGCGCATTGGTACGGCTTCTCCCCGGTGTGGGTTCTCAGATGTACTTGCAAGGTGTTGATAGCTCGGAAGCTCTTTCCGCATTCTGCGCACTGATACGGCTTCTCTCCAGTGTGCTTCCTCTGATGCACCACAAGAGCGTATTCCCTCAGGAAGCTCTTCCCACAGACCAAGCACTGGAAGGGTTTCTCTCCGGTATGGATTTTCAGGTGATTGTTGTAGGCGCCCCCGTCGCTGAAGCTCCTCCCGCATTCGGCGCACTGGTACGGCTTCTCTCCTGTGTGTTTCCTCTGATGCACCGACAGCGAGGAGTGCGAGGTGAAGCTCTTCCCGCACTCCGAGCACTGATACGGCCTCTCCCCCGTATGGACTCTTGCATGGGCTGTCAGAGCCGAGCTTCGGATGAAGCTCTTCCCACATTCCGTACACTGATAGGGTTTCTCCCCGGAATGGAGTTTTTGGTGTGCATTCAGGTAAGAGAGCTGGGTGTAGCTCTTCCCGCATTCCGTGCACGTGTAGGGCTTCTCCCCCGAGTGGATTCTCAAATGGATAATGAACTGGGATTTATATCTGAAGAATTTCCCGCAGACAGGACACACTTGTTGCTGACGTTCCGGAGGGTCCTGGGCTTCGCTATTCTCCGTCCTCTGAGAAGTCGATGGCTCCACGGAATCATAGAATGGGAAGAGACCTAGCGAGCCGTCCAGCCCAACCCCATTCTGCCAAGAAGCAGGAAAATTGCATTCAAACCAGTCCTTTTCTTTCTTGGATTGGTCCCTTTGGACATTTGCT